GACACGAAGTGGTGCTCACTTTGTTCCTACTTTTTCTAGTTACAGGTGCAAGTTTTGTGGTGTTTAATGGAGCCTTAAAAACATCTTCAGGATTTTTAGCTAAATCCAGTATAGTTGAAGGTAAGAATTTTGTCTTGTGTATTTTCCTCTTAAGAGAATGTACACAAAAAATAAAAGCAGCAGTCTTGCGTAAGGTTTTATGCCTCAGTAAGCTAAACTCTTCAAGGTTTTTTAACTTTATAGAAAACCTGTTGCAAACAAAATGCTGTGTAAAAAAATACATGTTAGTTCAGCTACTTGTTATAAAACATACAAAGTTTTAACTCTCTTTAGTCAGTTCAAGTCTTTCCTGTTTTCATTGCCATATTGCTCAAATACATATATTGGCATATAAATGAAAAATAATTCTAAGATTAGTCCAAGAATGATGTTTTAGCTTTAGTTCTGTTGACAAAAGGTTTTCTTCCTCTTTCATGTAACATTTAACGCTGTAGTTGGGGATGGAGTCCTTTTGTGCTTTTATTAATTAGCCGTAGGGGAGGGTTGATCCCACTAGAATTTAAGCCATGATTCTACCAAAAAGCTGTGCTGCTCTTCCTGTAGATAATTTGGGATTTTAACTGGATTTGTTCTAGATGGACTAATGGTACAAATAACACGAGAAACAATGGAAAGCCTACGTCAGGCATTGAGAGACAAGAAAGACTTCAGAATTACCTGTGGAAAAATGGATACAGGGGATGTAAAAGAATACGTGGATATTTGCTGGGTAGAAAATGAAGAGAAAACAAACAAAGGGTAAATGTACTGCCAAAGCAGAACATCTTAGAGAATTCATCTTTCCAAAGTTCAGATTTTTGCCTTCAGTTTCCTGAAATTAATGTAAAGTATTTTTATTGAAAAACAGTGGTCCACACCTTAAATGGTTTATAGCTTCTTGAACCTGCAAGATTGGCTTTATATTAAGTGCTTTTAGTTCCTTATTTATTTCTTTTTGTAGCATCTGTATTTTCATGATGCAAGCCCTGTATTGTATTTTGTTGTAAGGATGGATAAACATTATTTCATAAAAATGACTCAATCTAAACCATAAAATGTTGTTTTAATTATTAATTATACTATTGTCTTTCATAGAATTTTAAGCCCAGTAGATGGAAAATCAATTGGAGGAACTCAGAGTGAAAAAGCACCACAAGACAGAGACTTCGAAAGAGAGGGAAAAGTTATGAAGTGCACTGAAGTTAGTGAATTACATTGTTCTTGAGGCTTTTTTGGTACTTTTTGAATAGTTAAGGGGTAAAGTGGATCGTACTAAGTGATACTACTAAAAAATGTGGCTGCTTTGATGTGTAGCCACACTGATAGGCAGAATGTTCTCTGTGGCTCTTCGGTGAGTTTACATAATTTTCATTTTTCTCCCCTGAAAAAGACTAGAAGTCTGTTAGCATTGACAGCTCTGTGAATGCATAGCCCAGGCATTCCCATGGGCACTGAGGTGTTGTGATTGAATAGCTGAAACACTTGGGTACTTTGCCAGCCAATAAGCACTAGAGCTTGCTCTGTGCTGTATTATGTGCACACTGAATTACTCTTTTTCCTTACTTTGGGATGTAACCAGGCTGCTCATTGTTCTTACCCTTTCTCTGGTTTCAGGTTTGCTATTTTGTGAAGGACAATGAACTCTCCAGTGCTATTCCTCACCAGTTTGCTAAAGAGATTGCCACTGCCTGCAGCACTGCTCTCTGCCCTCACCTCAAAACCTTGAAAAGTAACGGAATGAATAAGATAGGCCTGAGAGTTTCCATTGACTCAGATATGGTAATCTTTCAACTTTCATTGCAGACTCCCCATTTCCACTGAAGTATCTTCCCTTGCACAGACCGTGGATCTCTCCCTGAATGTTTTACATGTTTTGTCATACCCCAGGTGAAGAAGCTGCTTTAGTGACTAGTTTCTCACTTCATGCCAGCTGAAATATTCTTTTAGTGAGATACTACACTTGTAGTGTTGTCTTGTTAATATAAAAAGACAATTTAATTAATTAATTAATATCAATATTAATGTGTTTCTCTCTTAGGTTGAATACTTAGCTGGATCTGGAGGTCATCTTCTTCCACAGAACTATCTGAATGACTTGGACAGTGCTCTGATTCCTGTGATTCATGGTGGAATGTCAGATCCTACCACACTACCAGTGAAAATGGAATTAATATTTTTCATTACAGAACACTTGTTTTGATAAGGCTGATAACAGGCAATACACTGATTTGCTAGATCTGAACACCAAAGTTATAATGCCACAAACACTAACAATGTTAAAGTTTCTAAACCTGTTGCATTTAATAGCTTTTCAAACTGGTTTTTTAACCCCCTCAGATCCTCCCTGGTTACTCTACCACACAAAGGAATTGTAGTTTGTAATGTTCCTAGGGTCCTGAAAGTTTACACTTAATACAGGTGCAGAAGAGGGCAGGTTTTGTTAATCTTTACACAGCTGTAGCATTTACTATACCTAGTGTAACTCCAAGCCATACTGCCTTGCCTCAACCTCAGATAAGTGTGTTACTACGAGTTGCTACGGTTAAATGTAATCTCTGCAGCAAGTGCTTTCCACCTTCAAAGGAGCTGAACAGTGAAGCAAAGCTGGCCTAGAACTGTTCCCCTGCCCTCTGAGGTGCAGACACGAGACCCTCTGTAGCTGACTGTGAGCCCCGTGTGTCAGGGCAAGGCGAACTCTGCAGGTGTGTTGAAGACTTTGTGGGTGAGCTCCTTAACATGGGGATTGATGCTGGTGCTTCAGAAACATATGCTCTGAATTAATGTTTTATAGAATAACTGATTTCTTTCTTGTATTTTTAACGTTTTAGCTAACTTAAATTGATGCTATTTTTATAAAAGTGCTTTCTTTTTTTTTTTCTTTACTGTGGTTTAGAAGTCCTGATACAATTTGACCTTTCAAGGATTATAAAAAGATTAGCCTTGATATAATCTACATGTAGCAATAAGTCAGACAAGAATTCTGCAGTATTTTTTCTGCTTCTGTCTGCTGCTTTTGCCACCTTCTAGTAGCCACCTTTATTTTCAGGGAGAATAGATGTATTAAGTGTGAATTTTCATGAACAGATCGATTCTAGTGGAAGGTGTCCCTGCCCATGGCAGGGGTGTTGAAAGTCCTTAAGGTTCCTTCCAACCCAAACCATTTGGGGATTTTTAGTATACTTGAGGTTCTTGCATAGTATGTATTTTTGATACTGGGTCACTTAGATCTATTTATGTATTTGTGATGCATGTGATTTGTACTGAGGTTCGTGGAACCACAATGCAGGTTTGGTAACTGCCACAAGACTGTTTATCAGGAACAGAACCAAAACTAAATATATACAACATCTATATTGTTTTCAGTAGAAATGCTGGTACAATTTTATAATGAAAGTATTAAAATTTTGATGCCATCTTGATGCTAATAGGGGATATTTTATGTTTTTGTATCAAAAACAATCTGTAAATTAACCTTTAACCTAATCTGCTCTTCTGTTACCTGTGCTTTAACACACTGGTGCTAGAAGGGTTCAGGCTTCAAGATCTTACCCTGGAGGAAATTGAGCTGCATTTCAGCTTCTTTGTGCTGACTTCTTCAGAGACACTGCCCTTCTGGAGAAGGGCTGGACCTACACCACGCACAGTAGCAACAAAACATGCCCTTGTTGAAAACAAGCTGCCCCTGGGCCCTTGAGCCCAAGCAGCATTTCCGGGCTGTGGCGGGGCTGGGGTGGCTGTGACCAGCACCCTACACCCCACAGGTGTCTGCAGAGGTACCCAAACTAACAGCTGTCTCTTGGCACTTACCCTCTAATAACCCCTGTTCAGTAATGATCAATAAAGTTAACTACAGTGCTTGCAATCTCTGTCTCTTATTTATAATAAAACAGGAAAAAAGACATTATTTGGGTGGATGTGTCCTGTCTTTGCAGCTTTCTGGGAACTCCTGATGTTGTCCACAAAATCTGATTTGTCATCTGGTGTGCAACAAGCCAATAATTACGTACCTGAGAGACACTGAATATTTATTTCAGAACTTCACAGGCCACGGGTTCGCAGTGTGTTCCACAAATCCAGCACAACAACTGGCCTTTCTGTGCCATCATTTATACACAGAAATCCAGAATTAGTAACTTCCCAAGCACAGCCCCTCTATCAGGATTAATTGGTCGTTTCCATACAGGTTACACAATGCCAGCCAACTTCTGCATGTGCTCAGGGGAGGGGTCTGCACCTGGGCTGGGTCTTTTTTGGCCTGTAAGTGTGGGTTTTAGTATTATAATGAACACAGTAAAGCCATAGGATACACAGACCTTGAGTATTTTGCCAATTAGCAACGTGTACGTAGGCACACGTTAACATCTTCATTTCACACAGAATCAAATCAAGTTGGAAAAGGCCTCCCAGACCATCGAGTCCACCCTGTGCCTGATCTCCAGCTTGTCACCCAGCCCAGAGCACTGAGTGCCACGTTCAGTCGTTCCTTGGACACCTCCAGTGATGGGAACTCCACCACCTCCCTGGGCAGCCCCTTCCAATGCCTGACCACCCTTTCCAGAGAGAAGTTCCTGCTAATGTACAGCCTTCCCTGGCGCACCTTACGACTGTGACCTCTTGCCCTGCGGACATCCTTTACTGCGCCCTTACGGCTGGTGAGTTCCAGGATGTCCGCCTGTAAGGGATGCAGCTGCTGCCTGTCCCAGGTCTCTTTCCTTGCTGATCAGGAAAGTACGTGGAGACCAAACAGCAGAGAACATCCTGATTTAGAGTAACGTTGAAATATTCCCCGTTTTGCAGGCACACTGTCGACCCCGGGCTACTGCCCCGGACGTGCTGTCCCTTTCCTTCCCTTCCCAAACCTTCCCTTCCTAAACCTGCCCTGCCCCGCCCCCCCGGTCCCGCCCCGCTGTGGCGGCGGCGGCGGTGCCGGAACGGCCCCGCGGGGGGGCGGGATAGGCCGGGCCATGGCGAGCGGGACCGCGGGTGAGCGATGGCGGCGGCGTGGGCGGGCTCGGTCCTCGGGAAGCGGGGACAGGGGAGAGGGGCTCCATCAGCCGCCAGTGAGGAGCGGAGACAGGGGAGCTCCACCGCCCTGGGCCCCGCGGTAGAGGAGCCCAGGCGGGGCTGGGCCGGTTCCAGGCCGTGCTGAGGGTCCCGCCGTGTCCTCCCGTGCGGGCGGTGCTGAGGGATCCCCATGTCCCCGCAGGCTCTTGGAGCGAGTGGCCCGTGGACCATTTCCTCCGCTCCGGGCGCATCACGGCGCGGGACGGGGCCGCCGTGCGCTGGTTCCACGCCGCCAACAGCAGGGCCCGGGCGGCCGCGGCTGCGCGAAGTGAGTGCGGGACTGGCCCTGCCAACCCTTCCCCTTTCCCCTTTCTCCTTTCTCCTTTCTCCTTTCTCCTTTCTCCTTTCTCCTTTCTCTTTCCTGCCCTGCTCAGTCATTACTGTTGGAAAAGCCTTCCCAGGACCATCGCATCCAGCCTTCGTAGTGCACCGCCGGACCCAATAAACCGTGTCCCCAAATGCCACATCTTCACACCTTCTGTACACCTCCAGGGATGAGGACTCCAGCACCTCCCTGGACAGCCCCTTCCAAGGCTTAAACTAAACCTTTCCTGGTACAGCTTTGAGGCCATTTCCCCTTGTCCTGTCCCTTGTTTCCTGGGAGCAGAACCCAACTCCCACTGGCTCCACCCTCCTGTCTGGGAGTTGTAGAATGAGAAAATCCGTGATGCCCCAGTCTGGGCAGCAGGGAATTTTATGTGAATTTATATGAATATTTGGGAAATATTTATGTAATTCCATATGTAATGTGCCTTCTCTTGAATATCATGACTAGCTTTTTTATTAGTATTCTAGTCTAAGGAACTGTATGTATTTGATTCTCTGCAAAGCTGGTAGCACTGCCCAGACTCGTTATATAAAGCTGTTTTCTAGAGCTTGCAGCATTCCTAAGACTCCCATTCGCCTGTCTTGTATTTCAGCTCTCGTTTTCCTGGCTGGCTGACTTGTTTTTAAGTTTTGACTGAGATGGGCAGGTCATGTTTGAGAATGAGACAAGAGGAGTGCTCAGTCTCTGCCAGTGTTAAATCCTGTGCTTATCTTTACTCTGAAAGTATCTGTCTGGAACCCTGTTTTGAGAGGAAAAGATTTGAAATTTAACAAGAGTGGATTCACATGCTGGATGTCCATTTCTCTGTTTCTCTGATGAAAAACCCCCCATGTGATTACTCAGCCAAATGTATCTACAGAAATCAATTTTCACATACCTGTAAATCTTTAAAGAGTTCGTGAGTTAAGCAACCAGAGAAATGTATCTTTCATGTCACAGACAGCAGTTCCCACTGGGGATGGCCTGTGTGGAGTAAGTGAACAGAGGCTGGTGTGGGAAGAGTTGCTGAGTAATTGTTTCTGTGAAGCAGACACTGAAACTGTTGGTTTTGCACCTTAGAGCTTCAATTTTTATCCTCCCCAGGCAATGTGCACATGGTAGAAGCTGATGTTCTCCTCCGTGGTGGGGAGGGAGGGAAGGGAGACCCGATCCTGGCTCACCCCCCTGACACAGACAGTGACATCACACTGCAGGAGTGGCTGACACAGATGGTCAACACCAATAAAGGCATCAAGCTGGATTTTAAGAGGTATCTCCACAAAAAGATTTTTATGTTGTTTGCAATCTTACTGGTTAACAATTTTACAGGTGATGGTTGACCAGACTTTTTCCTATTGTGCCATTTTGTGTGATGCATTCCTTCCTAAGCAAGGAATGAGGAAACATCATCCCTATTAATAAATGCATCACAAGAATAAAAGTTTTGAAAGTGTTTTGAACTGCAAATAATATTTTTTTAGTTACTTCGGGCAGACTTTTTCCGTTGGGAAAAGGGAAATGGTGGTATCCCTCTGGAAGGCTCCTATCTTTGGCCTGATTTATTAATTAGATTTTCAGAAGTTCATTCAGAATTTAGCCATTAGCTGTTTCATTGTCTTGAATGGAGAATACACCTGAAAACCCCATGAGATAGCCTTGGAAGTAAGCTGTGATTTCCAGACATTCACTTCTGCAGCTCCTGACTTCATCTTTGTCTGAATTTCCATATTCAAAGTCTGTTTTGGCAGCAAGTTGCAAAGAGCTTCATCAATGCCTCACTACGCTATAAAAATGCAAAAAACTCCAACAGATAGTTGTAAAATGTGATTTATGCCTGTTGTTCTGTGTAACACAGTCACTATTTTTGTGTAAAAGTTCTCAAAAATGCAAAATATGTGGGCAGGCTAAATCAGTTTATTGTTACAGAATCTGTGTATGTCCGTCTGGGCAGAGAAGAGAGTAAAGCAAAGTAGGCATCTGGGTTTATTTCTTGTGGGTTTGGGGATTTTTTTTCTATTTTAGTTATTGTTTAAATTAATTTTAAAACCACCTACTTTTTGTTTTTCCATGAGGAGTTTACAGCCAACTGCAGTGATTTGAAAAAAGCTTTTAAAAGTATGTTGCATTATAAAAGTCTAGTTGTATAAAAGCATTTAAAAATACATTACACAGTGCAGATGGAGTCAAATGAGTGATAACAGAATTTGATGTTTGCTTTGGGGTTTTTTTTCTGTGTTGTTGTTTATTTCAAGAGATGCTGCTTTGGGCTTTTTTCTCTCTACAATACCTTATACTTTGTAGTACAAAGGAAGGCTCTTCACTGTCCTTGACAGATGTGAACTGTCCTGGCCTCAGACAGTGCAAGAAATGCTGAAGCCCACACATTAACTCAGACCGTCACTAATTTTTCTCCTGTAAGACTTGAGCTTATCTCAGCTGGAAAAACTGGGTCGAATTCCTGCCACTATACAAAAGTTAAAATATACAAAATGACTTTTCAGAGGAAACAATGCAAGCAGCTCAGGGGCCAGTTTTTGGCTTTAGAGCTGACCTAATATGAGAGCTCCGACTATAATGATTTTAAATTCCTGAACGTTTTATAGAGTGTTAATTCATGTACTGTAAGAGAAAAAAGGTTTTCCTGGCATTCATTCCTTTTCCCCATTGTTCCACATCTCCTTCTCTTCCAGAGTACTGGTGCTTTGAAAGTTTTGATGGGATAGAGGTAGAAAAGCTACTTGTGCTTTGTCTTTTGGTTGGAAAGAACAGTCAGAATACATGACTCTGGATTTTGTTAAATGCTTACAAGGTGTGCTGCACTGGTTGCTCAAATAATGACAACTGATATTTAATAATTTAATAATTAAATGTGGGGTGAACGTCTGACAGGCAGATTTTCTGTGCTGCCACACTTTTGAACTGTAGGGAAAATCATGACGAGGCATAAAGTGCTCAAATGGGTGTCCTTTCACTCTTTTAGTTGCCTGAAAATGTTCAGTTTGGGGTTTTTTATTCTCTTAGTATGGGTGGATTGGCTTGCAAAGGCGTGAAGGTAACTTTCAGTCTGGATCTGAAATAGTGATAAAATCTTTGCAATGCTGAGTGTGGCTGAGGTTGGAAGAGATTACTTTCACCCCTTGGATATAAACCACAGGAATATATATAAATAAATATATTTACAGTATCTATGGATTACAGGTCTCATTAAACAGAAGTGTTGGAGCCTGCAGTAGCTTCCTTTTTTAAAACCCTTTTCAAGCACCCTTCAAGACGAAGAGGTGACAAGCCTGGGGGGCTGTGAGGTGACACCAGGAGGTTCTGGGAGCAGGGGTGTGGCAGAATGGCAGCCTGAGAGGTGTAGGACAAGTCCCTGCTGGCAGAGGGTCGTCAGCATTCGCTTAGTGTCTGAGGAGGACGGTTAAGTAACGCACCCGTTCTGTAACATGCTCTACCTTCCCTGGTTCCCCTGGTGATCCTCCACAGCATGGACGCCGTGGGACCATCCCTGGAGCTGCTGGGGCAGGTGGAGCAGCAGCTGAGGAGACCTGTGTGGATCAACGGGGACATCCTGGCGGGGCCTGGTGGGAGCCGCCCGGTGCTGAACGCTCAGAGCATCCTCAGCACCATCACCTCGACCTTCCCCGACATCACCCTATCCCTGGGCTGGACCACAGGCTGGCATGGCCACCACCACGGGCAAGGTACATAGCTCTAGCCAGGCCTCACCCTGCACGGCTGCTTTTCTTCACATTTGTCTCTTAATTGACTCAACACAAGCTCTGCAACATCCTCTATTTGAAACTCGTAGTGAATGACATGAGAATGATTTTCTTTGCTGGTGTGTGAGATGCAGTGTGATCCTGCAATTACCTCAGTGTTGGACTGGCAACTGGACTGCGTAAAAATCTCATCTTTTTGTTGTTAAAATAAACTCTTTTGTTCTTCAACTCATTCTTATGCACTGAGGAGCTTCGGGAGACAAACCCCTCAGCCCCTGTTTCAGGTAGGTCTCTCCCTGAATCCTTGGAGGATTGGTTTGGTAATTGGAATTCTGGCATGTGTCCTGAGGAAGAACAGACTATCCAGAAATTTAAAACCCTGTCTGTGCTTCTTTTGATCACTGAAATCTAATTGTTAGTTAACCTTGTCTTCATTTCTATTGAATAATTGAATTTTTGCAGTGAATTTTCCAGTTTTCATTATTTTTGGGTCTTTTTCACAGTAGTCCTCTTTCTTGTAATTCTTATTATGATCAGCAGGGTCCCTACCAGCATTGTCTCTGGCCACCAGGGCAAAATTATACACTGTTCCAATTACTAATTACTCTTTAGCAAGATTTAGTATTTTGCTATATGATGCAGAGTAATTTTATTAAACTGTTCAGTGCTTTCTCTCAAATATTTTCAGCGCAGGAAAAAGTTGGTGGAAATATACATTGGAAATACTGAGTGACATTTTAAAATTAATTTAATGTTCTCTCCATTCTAGGTTTCAGTTTATGGTAATACTAATTAAGGGTATGCTGGAAGACTTGGGAAAAACAGCTCATTTGACTGATTTCAACTAAAAGTTGCTGTTTGTCCAACAAGACTATTTTTTTAATATTTGGTGCTTTTTTATTCTTTCCAGTCACACATTGCATATGAGTAATTGAGAAAAAATTTTTAACTGTTGTTTGTAAGATTTTCATAACCTGTGGAAACAAAAGAACAGTTAAATCTTATTTTAGGTAGCTGCAGTGCTTGTAAAAATCTCAGCAGAGGCACTTGGAGTGTTTTAGATTGCTTGATGTTTGCATTTTTTTAAGTGCAGAATGTTTTGTGTACTTTGTTTGTGTATAACTCAGTCCTATGGGATTCATTCAAATTTTTTCCCTAATTTTTCCTTCCTGTTTTTGTTTCTAGAGGGTCCCTGTCAATGTCAGATGAGTCCATACTGGAGTCAGTGGCAGCGAATTTAAAAATGTCACGTTCTGTAGCTGTATGTGAAATAATAGTGCAGCTACTGCAGAGGAAGATTTTAATAATCAGTTTATTTTCCCATTAATATTACCTTTCTCCTCTGTGATTATTTTTTCTTAGAACCATATGGAAATTTCCTTTCAGAATTCCACGATTTTCGCCGGTCCCTGACTTTGCTCATTTTGTGTCACAGCTGAATCACTCTGTCAAGCTCTGGGTTGGGTGGGGGTTGTTTGTGCAGGGTTTTTCAGTCCAGTGTTGTTCCCTGCAGGGTACGACTGGGAGATGGTGGAGGAGATGTCTCAGCTGTGCCAGGCCCTGTCCCAGCCCGTGACATTCCCTGTCAGGGCCGTGCTAGTGCCACGCTCCCTCCCTACTCTCCGCTGGCTGATCCAGCAGTCAGACAGGTTGGTCTGGGGGCCTCTATTCCCACCTGTCCTGATATAAACACAGCTGTTAAATTAAATACAACACACTTATTCCAGTGACATTGGAAATATTTTCCCTTTCAGTTCTTTAATTCCTTCAGCTCTCACATTGTTTGTTTCATTTGACAGAATTGGTCACTATTAATTTCTGTAAAATAATAAGTTTCCAAAAGCTTCTTTTTCATTACCTACAGTAAGAATTAATATCACAATATTACTGCATTAAGAATATGTCTTATAAATTGTGCCAGTCTCAAATATATCCACATTGGATACAAGCAGTATTCCCACTGAAATATTAGGATTTTCTCTTTCACCTTAGAATAAAAGTCATGATTTTTTAGTGGCATGATTAGAAGACAGAAATTCCTGAGCCAGGTTTACTGACATATAATTAAATTCTGATTTACCCATATTTTAAATTAATACGGTTTTATTATACAAAGGGGAACATTAAGTATATGTCATGAGGAGATTGTGGAGAGTAATGCTTTTAACTGTGGTTGATATTGTGGAGATTTTCAGTTTTTTTGAAAAGTTACATGCAATTAATGACAATTCAGTTAATCAGGTGTCATCACTGCACATCACTGAGGCGACAGAACAGAGCATGACAATCACCCACGTCTGGGATTGCATCCTATTTCCTGTTCTGCAGCTCAGCCTGTGACTATTGATTACTTTGTCAAAGCTTAAATGCTCAGCCTGGTAATTTCTTTGCTGTATATCTGCCCAAGATTTTTTATTTAACTACTTGCTTGTTTTGGCAGAACACTCACACAGATAACTTGTTCTAGAGGTTGCAATTTTTTGTATTTAATTACATTATTAAAATTGAGATATCATTGTTGTGAATATTTTTTAGGAGCTTATTAGTGCAATGTCTTTCTGATTTATGTGCTTTTTTCTCTTTTGCTGTTTTCCCTTTTTTTTGCATGTAGGTACAGCCTCACTGTTTGGACAGGAAAGGACGACATATATTCTGTAGAGGATTTGCTATCCATCCGAGAAAACTTTGATAAAAGTAGGGTTTATTATGACATTTTCGAGCCACAAAATTCTGAATTCAAAAAAGCCATTGGAATAGAACAGTAAATGCAAATCAGGCAATGCCTGACGTTACAATGCTCTATATTGTAATTTCTTTCAAATGTGAGGATTTCTTGTTCAGAGAAATGCATTTTCCTTGCCAGAGAAGCCATATTGAGCACACTTCTGGTTACTCGAGGAGATTTTGTACAACACTGGGGGAAAGGCTTCTCAAACAGAAATCCAGTGCCTTCTTCAGTGTTCCCTCCTCCCCAGGTGGGATCCTGGGGGCTCCACATCCCAGAAAGGGAGAAGGGCTGTTTGTACTGAGTTAGCCCTGGTGGAGTCCTGTGTCCTGTGGTCACTGTGCCCCATCAGAGCTGAGTGGGAGTGGGGAGGGGGCTGCAGGAGGGGCTGTGCCAGCCCTAGGGGTGATCCCGACCTGGCCCGGAGCACAGGGAGGGGTCCTGGCAAGGAGCACATCGGGCACAGTCAGAGAGCTGAGCTGTGACAGAGCAGTGCTGGTGCCTCTCTCAAGGGCTTGGAATCTCAGAACTTGTGTGTGAGATGTTCCCCTGCCATGTCTCTGGCAGCCAGAGAGCCAAGGAGCTGCAGAGAGATCAGTGATTGCAGCAAAAACAGCTAATTTCTGTGATCATAGGTATTTTCTGCGTTGTCCTGATTTTTCTGCATCCCTTTAACTGACAGGACTTCACAAATTTTCACAAGTGGAAGTTCCCTCTGAGAAAAGCCAAAACCCTGCTGACCACTGCAGGAAGAGCCTGACCTGCTTCATTTAAACCATTTGTTTTGCCCGTTTTGCTTCTACAGCCCTCAGAATTCACTCAGACTGAGGCACCAGCTGTGCGTTGTTGCCTCTGCCAGACATTACAAGCAATACAAACAAAAACACAGTGTCAGAGGAGGTTTTGATTTCTGGGTAAAAGCTGATGCCCTGAGCAGGGATTGCCATGTCTTCTTGTCCTCCTGTTCCCATTCCTCTCACATGGTTCCTGTGGGAATTGGGTTGATATGGATGTTGAACACAACTCTTAGTGCTGAAGTTAATTACAGCAGTTTTTGGTTCTTACATAGCCCTGGTACAACTGTGATAGAAAAATTAGTTACATTTCCTAATCCTAAATTTTGAAACATGGTGATTTCACACAGTCACTAAAATCCAAGACTCCCTGCTGTTACCAATGGCTCCTTTGACAGCTCCATCTAATAATTGTTCTGTGTTATTGAGGAGTAGAGCCTTCCTCATTTTCGTTACCTACTAAGGTATGTGTGGGTAAAATTAGCAAAAATTTTTCCATATAAGGAAGAAACTATCTGGTTGTACTTGGGATAGTTAAACAAAGTACTTAATTTAATTTATTCCACCAGGCAAAATGAGTGGCCATAACCACCAAAGGGTCAGGTTTGCAACTGTGATTCCTTTAATGAGATTGGGAGAAGTACTTATTTTTCAGCCACAGTTTGTTGCAGGCAGTTGCATTCATTGACTTAAGGGATTTCATCTCTCAGTGTTTTGGCGGTTTTGGGTCTACACAGACAGACTTTTCTGTTATTTAGAAACCTTTTTCCCATTGACCAGTTCCCACCTGAAGTACTGGGATTTGTTAAAAATCAGTAAACTATTGAATAAAAAACATCAGCAATTGCTAGAAGTATTTTTAAGGAAGATATATCTCTGAGTAATATCTGTGGATGTGAATAAACAGGGATATTCAGATAAAATTAAAAGAAGACATGATCTGGATTACCAGGAAAATTGATGTAGGCAATTTATTTAAGTCATGTAAAACTAGATTAAACAAATGCTAGGAATTAGTTCTATGAAGCATTCTTGTGAAGACAGAAGAGTTTGGCTATGTGGTGAATTGTATGGATATTCCTACATATCTAAATTTCTGTATGTATTTTTTACCCATAGATCTCTGCTAGTTCCATGTGGACTTGTTTATGTCAGTCTGGTCTGAGTTGCACATAAATAAATTCATTTGAATTTCTTACTCTGTGTTTATTCAAATGCTCTCCTAAAATAAAACGATTTATGTGTGAGGCTGCAGTGAGACAGTAATGGTGAGATGAAGCCAGGTTTTATTCTGGTGGGGGAGCCAGTCTGTGTTGTTTTAGCTGTAGCTGTCTTTTTATTTCTTTTTCTTTTACTTTCTGTCAGGGATCTGTTCCTTGTATTATACTAACACTGGTAATTTACTGCAAGTGCACTTTTAGCTTTCTGTTTCTCTGTGAATTTGAAGGACCTTAGTAAACAGATAAAATAACACGGTACAGAAGAGAGATGTCACTGTGTCCTGCACAGTGACCCAGCTGTGTCCTGTCATGACACAGAAGCAATGGGAGCAAAGCACAAGCTATTTGCTGGTTGTTTAAATGTACTGTGGAATGAAAGAAAATGCCCCCAAAGGCACATTTTTCAAATGTGTTGCTCCATCTGATGTTCTCCACATCTCCCTCTTCAGCATTCATTCGAAAAAACAAAAACCCCCCCACAAAACTCATCCTTTTTTTCAATTCAAACCATCAAATTAAAGCTGAAATTACACTAGGAGTCTTTATAACTCATTTAATAACTTGGTGATTGAATAGTCCCATCCTTTTCTTTAAGGGAAAAAAAAAGTTACAGTGTTGGGGAATTAAAAATGTTTGGTACTTGGTTCTGTGTCTGGATTTCAGGAATTTGGAGAATAAACTGGCCTGTGTACAATTAGAAAAAAAAATCTTTGGTGTTCAGTGTAAAATCTTAGCATGATTTTTAAATGGCCTTTCTAAAGTTACCACGTGGATTTAAAATACATTTTCTCATCAGTTGTGTGCCTGGGTGGAGCTGTCACTGACACGCATGGGGACGCTGATCACGTCAGTGCCACTGCCATTGTGTGTAATTTCCACATTGAAGGTCTTTATGACTGTGATGTGACATTGACTGAGAGTAAGAGCAGATGATTTTCGCTGCTTTTTCACCGGCAGGTGAGAGATGGGAAACCATAGCTTTCAACACCAGCAAGGGGAGACTCTCAGCCTGTAGTATTTTCTGTGCCCAGAGACAAAAAAGGAACCTGAAAGGTCTGTTGTTTTTTATCTCGGGTGCCTTGGGAAGTGAGGGGTTCTAACATTAGAAACTCCGGTTGTGCTGACCGTTCTTCACTGAAAAGAACATCAGGGGTGGCTGGGAAATGTCATGGATTAACGGCTTCAAAGATAGCACAAGAGCATCTCCACGACTGGAACCACAGGAAGCTTCCGGCAGGTGGAGAGAGCCTCTCTCACACTATACTTTGCACAAATTGAGCTATATTGGATTAAATCTAAGTAACTGTTCCCATTTTCTTGCATAGAGGCAACCTGAGAAATACTTCTAAGTGAGAACCTTTGGCAGTGACTCATCATCTACTGAGTGGTGAATAAAAGCATGTGCTTATTTCCATGTTCCCTTGGTGGGGGAAAAAAAAAACTTTTATTTATTCATCATAACAACATCAAGAGAACAAAGCTTCTTTTCTTTGAAGGTCACTTATAACAGTAATGCAAAACCAAACAGTAATATTAACCCTTCACATTATTTCTGCACCACAATTAATCACAAAATACTGGTAACACTACTGAAAAACTTCCCTTTCCAAGACACTTGCCATTTTCCTCCATTGTCCAAGTATTTTGTGGAAAAAATTACTCTTTCAGTTAAGGGAGCAATAGTCTCAATATACATAATTAATTTTAAAATCAAAACAGCATCAATTGGGTTTTATACCCTCAGCACAGATACCAGTTAGAACACCTGGTGATGGTAGATTTCTTCTAAAAAAGGACTTGTATGTTTTTAAAGATCCATTTTCCATTGCAAATATTTAATTTCGAAATGAAGAAATGACAAATTGCCATTTCCATTTTTAATGCCATGAAAACATTTGAAAAATATATTGTGTGTAGGAACCAATTTGTACCCAGTTAATACTGGCATACTCTGTTCCATGTAATTTCTCTGTCATAAAAAGATTTCCACATAATCCCTGCTTCTATCTGATGTACACAGGGGCTGATCCAACAACATCTGAAGGAAAAGGCAGAACCTGAATGGCAACAAATACTCCAAAAAAAGATATTTACACAGAGTATATTTATCATCCCCTTTGAATTATGTTTATCATCCCCTTTAAATTGTTTTTATCATCCCCTTTAAACTGTTTCATGTTTATCATCCCCTTTAAATTATCATATACTAAGTGCAAAGCTAAATAACATCACAGTTATTTGTTAGGCAATGTCAGATTCGGTGAACTTTGAAGCTGCAAGCAGACATAGTACTGACTGAGCATTTTCAGAAAAAAAGTATTTCAGTATACTGAAATTCACATTACACAGGCACAATTTCAGTACAACTACTTTCTGTAAACTATGACAACATAGAACACATTCACTTTTTCTCAATATTTAGAAGATGAGATCTAAAATGCTAAATGCAGACCAGTATCTATGGTATGCACACAAAGACAGAGCCATGTTTGGAATTGTAGAACACTAAAGGAAAGCAAAGAAAGATGGATTTTTAGATAGAGATGATAAAAAATATGCAGTAGCTTAGAGTCTGCAGAGGAGTGTTTTCTACCCCTAAGACATTCAGTCCTCTGCTTCAAATTAGGCAAAATGTGAATTTCCATCTCCCAGGTGAGTTTTGTCGTTAAAACCACAGAACAGTTTGGGTTGGAAGGGGCCTTAAAGCCCATCTTATTCCAACCCCCTTGCCATAGGCAGGGACACCTTCCAGTAGACCAGGTTCCTCTGAACCCTGTCCAACCTGGCCTTGGACATTTCCAGGGATGGATATTCTGGGCAACTTGTGCCAAGGCCTCCCCACACCTGGATTGTCTTTTTTTAGGTCTGTCTGAGCAGGAGGACAGAGCTCCCAAGCCTGTGTGTGAAGTGCCCTTGCTGAAGAACACTTGATGTGCCCCACCATCTGTACCCTGGTGAAAAGGGCTGTGATTGGGGACAAAGAGCTCCTGCATGACCTGGAGATCTCTTTTGGGGGGAGTCCAGAACTGTAGACAGTGACAGACTCTTGTTTAGATAAAGGCTCTGCCTCCCCCACCCTTCCTTTTCTGAGAGGAGCAGATTCCAGCAGGCCAGAACCTTGAGCAGCCCCAGGTGGCTGAGACACCTCACTGACAGTGTGAGCAGTTTGTGTCACACTCAGGGCTCATTGTGCTCCTTGTGGGCTCCTGACAGGGCTGGCAGGCTTTGTGTGCTGGCCTGCAGCACCCCAGAGCTGTGCACCACCTGCCCCAGGGCCAGATAGGCATCTGAAACATGCTCCCAGTCTTTAGCTGGAATTCCCTGGGCAGCACAGCTCTGCAACATGACTTTTATTAACTGTTTACACGGAGTGAAGTCATAGAAGCAGGAGACATTGCCTGTGTACACCTGCCCCTGCACACTAATGTGTCTGAGTTTTTTGGGTATTGTACAACCTGGACAGTCAGGCTGATGTCCAGCATCACAGTCAACTGTTTCAGGTTCCCAAACTCCATGTGTATGACCTCTGTTGGTGCAAAAAGAGTACATGTTTGGGAAAATCTAGGAGTCATATTTACAACCTACAATTACAACTGCAGTGCTTAAGAGGCATTGTGGGTTCAGTCTGTCACAGGTAAGTTGAAAATCTTAGAAAACCAGGAAAATAAATATTCCTCAGTTTGCAGAAAGCAGCCTCATTCATTAAGTATGTCTTCATGTAGTCTTTAAGCTGTTCGACTCATCCCAAGGCACAGAGCACAGACTCGCTCTACTTTGTGATATGCACCATTACAATCAGGGAGTGCAGTGAATATTTACATATCAAAGAGTTTGTAGCCCCTTATCCCCCATTAAAGATTCAGTAATTGCTTAACCTGCTCAGACTGTAATCTGCTCATACGGCCTCCTGCGCAGCAGATTGGTGTTTTTGGTCATCCTAGGAAAAGCAGGTGCTGCTGGCCCTAACTGTGTTTGCCCACAAGAAATCATCCCAGAAACTGTGTTTATGACAGTGATCTCTTGAACTGGGGGGCAAGGGTTCACACTCAAGGGTGGCAGAAAATCTGGCCTTGTCTGATCCAATGCTAAGGCTCCTGACCCTTGTCCTTCTGGGAAAGCCTGATTTCTGCCTTTCACAGTAACAGAAGGCATTTTCTCCAGAACTTCTCTAGAACTTGGTAACAAGGAGTGAGATGGAGAAATAATCTCTTTCTTTCCTATTGCTGACTTACTGTCTTCTGCAGCAGCAGCAGGACTTAGACTAGCAATTAACTGAGAATCAGAACTGTTGCGATCTGGTTTTGCGTTTTTGTTCCTGAAAAAACCGCTGAGGTTTGAAATTAAGCTGATTTGTCCCAGACTGACACTCTGACCCATGGGAATCACACTGGGGTTATGTTTCTCTTCAACAAAAGGAGTCTGATAGTTTATCTTGTCAGGTGGTGGTTTCCTGGACCCAGTTTCATCAGAGGTTTTGAATACATGAGCAGTGTCTTTCCTGTCAATATTTTGAGGACTGGTGTTGACTCTCTTTGATAAGCCAAGGCCACTGACTTTACAAGAGAGCTTTTCTATGGGAGTGATACTCTGAAGTTCCTGTGAAGAAGCGATTTTCCTCTGCTGAAACACTGCTGGGCAGCACTTTATCCAAGGCTCACACTCCAGCTGCTGCACATGGGTCAGCTTGAACCGGGCCTGTGTCGGGCTGGGTTTCATCATCAGTGACCCTGATTGAGATAAGCTGTCCTCCTCCCGTGGAGGATACAGCTCTCTGAAGCTGAATGGTCCCTCTGGAGTCTCACTGGGTTCTATTTCCGATGGGGAGGTGCAGGCAGTTGGGTACTGGCACTCCCCGAGCTCTGGGGGAGGCATGTTCAGGTACTGCCTGGTTTCCTGCCTCCCGGATGCAGATTTGTCCATGGTGATGATGATCACCTCTTTCCCTCGTGCCTTACAAGCATTGAGCAGAACCTCTAGGGTCTCTCTGTCTGCAGAGTTTATTGCATACACGAGAGCAGAGCAGTTGGAGTGGTCAGGCAGGCTTGGGTCAGCCCCGCTCATGAGCAGCAGAGACACCACCTCTGGGCCTGCTCTGCCCAAGCATGCATGCATCAGGGCCGTCTTCCCAGATTTGTCCTGGATGTTCGGATCAGCCTTGTTGTCCAGCAGGTACTTAACCATCTTGGCCTTGCTGGCACTCTGCAAGTCCACGTGTTCAGTCATACAAGCAACCATGAGGGGGGTCTCCCCTCTGCTGTTGCTCTCATTGACGTAGGCACCCCCATCGATCAACAGCCTGGTGAGGCGGAGGCGTCTCTGGTACACGGCTTTGATCAGGGAATACCCCTCCGGCGGCACCTCCACCACCTCCATCATCCTGCTCATCTCACCTACACCCTCTAAGGGCCTATAAAAGATCTGCCTTCCATAGAAAGCAAAGAGGTCCCCCAGAGAAGACAAAACAGAAAAAAAAAAAAAAAAAAGAGAAGGTTTAACTGTACAAATTGCTCCTGCAAACACCGTCATATTTTGAGAAAAGAGTATGAAGAGAAGAAGAAAAGTGTTCTCACCCTCTAGACTTCAAAAATACATTACAA